GTTGTACAAAACATGAAGGTTTAGTAAACTCTTTTTGAGGTAAGACTATAAATAAATCATCTATATTTGAAAAGTCTAAACTAAAGTGCAGTTGTATGCTTCAGCTTGTCAATGGATATTTATGAGGTGAGTATGATACTATAAAGGTTCTGGCAGTGAAATATATCCTGCACAGATAGCTAGTAAAGGAGCTTGCAAGTGTTAATGCCAGCAGAATTTTAATGCTCAAGAGATGGGAAACTCGACACTTGCTCTGGTTAATGCTACTCTTACTGGCTACAGTGAAAAGCAACCAGTAAAACAGCTTTTTATAGATACTGCGATAGAACTGGAGTCTATAATATGTCATTTCCTAGTATTGTCTTGTTTTCTTCTTTTGGTTTTGTTAACTACAGAGCAGTAACATAGACTCAGTTTTATTTTGGGCATCAACTTCTAATCCTACCTAGTATGATACCCAAGAGAGGTTATTGCCGACAACAGTTTCTAAAGAAATAGCAAGTTTCTTATTCTAATAGAAACTTGTTAGTAGAAATCTTGTGTTCATCTATTAGCATATTATACATTTTAATTGTTTATTATAAAGACTGTTTAGTCCTATCTGATCCTAGAATTACTCTACATGGAAAATAAGGTATTATAATTATAAATATATGTCTCTATCTGTAGTTCTATATATTTAGTTTATATTAAATAGACTAATATTAAGCAATTTAATTAACTTTAAAAATATTTTCAGCATTTCTTCTATTCATCATTAAAGTGAGATAGTCTCAGAAAAATGAGCACTAGTAACTAATACTATTCTGTAATCTGTACTATTCTTTAATGGGTTGTATGTTCTACTTATTTTATACTGCTTTTCGTGTTACCCGGATAACATACCTTTATTATGTAAGCATTATAAGGATAAGATATGAAGTCTTTTAAACCTTGTCTTATTCTATTTCCTATAAATGAAAATTGCTCTCCAGTGTTCTGGCATCGACTGCTTGCCATATCATCAGTGGCAGCCCAAACATTCATGACCTTGAACATAATTAGCATTATCACGATGTGTTTTGTAAGATAGCATTGAATAGTCTTTGAAGGGCCACAGACACCTAATCACAGTCACTTACAACCAGTGTGTGTTACCTTGATTTAAGAAAATTCCAGGAAATTGATGTTAGCTGCTAGGCTGAAATAATCCCCTGGGAGTGAGATGTCTGAAAGAATACTGAATAAAATTTTCCTTCTGGCCAATAGCTTCTATTTTTCTTGATTATACCTTTTCTATCTTCTCTTTACTCTTCTGTTTCTCCATATTTTCTTCTCTCCTTTTCTACCATTATATTCTTCTCTTCTGTAATTATCTTTTTCTCTCTCAAATTCATACTTACTCTGTATTTGCATTTTTGAGGTCTGGCTTCTCCCCCTGTGGAGGTTTTGTCATTTAGTATTCATTCCTTTAGACATTCATCGTGGATTTGTTTCTAAGTGATTACTTATTACAAGTCTGCTCCATGTTAGACACTTTGAAGAAGCAATTAGAGAAAGATGGATGATAAATTCCTATTTCTTTACTGGGAGTATACTATATGCCAGGCACTGCTCTAAGTGCTTTATATATATTAACAGATTTAATCCTTATAACAATCCTAAGAATAGGTCCAATTTATTATTACTATTTTTAAATATTTTTATTGATTTCAGAAAAGAAGGGAGAGTGATAGATAGAAACATCAATGATGAAAGATAATCATTGATTAGCTGCCTTCTGCATGCTTCCTATTGGGGGGTTGGGAGGGTGGATGGAGCCTGCAACCCATACATATGCCCTTGGCCTGAATCGACCCTGGGAGCCTTTCCTCCTCAGGCGGACACTCTCTCCATTGAGCCAAGCCAGCTAGGACTAGGTCCAGTTTTTAATCATCAATTTACTTATGAAGAAACAAGCACACAGTAGGAAAATGTCACCCATGGCCACACAGTTAGTGAGTGTCAGAGTGGTTTGGCTGCGGAGGACATGCAATGGGACCTCTGGGGAAAGGAGTTCCATGACTGAGAGAACTAGGCAGTGCTTAACAGAACTCCTCCAGGTTTCCAACTTTTCAGTTTGAGTAAAATGAAAGTACACCCAGACATTATCAGCTCTTGATAAAAGTGAAACACTCTAAGTCCATGATTTGGAGGGGAGAAGACATTTGGTTGTTTTTGTTAATAGGTGTATAAAACACAAAGGTGTATACAGCATTTAGGAGGGGTTTTGAGGTACTTGAATTGACATTTGGCAGCTGTCAATCAATACTTAATCCCAAACTTTGGAAGAATTGAAGTAAGGACCTCAGGGTCAAAATCAATAGGGTTTTCTTCACTCGTACTTCTATGCCTTTCATTAAAACAGAGAATTTAAGTCTGGAATGATTTAGGTGCTGAAGTTATTTTGAAAATTCAGGTGAATTATCAACCTCACTTTTTAATCTGTCCAGTTGTTTAAAGTGAATGAATCATGGTCACCAAGATTTAATCTGGGATGGGAACAGAAGTGGTCAGAACAACTGTAAGCTTAGAAAGTGGTTCTAATAGTAGTGTTAATCCAGTGTACTTATTTTTTAAATATATTTTTATTTTAGAGAGGAATGAAGAGGGAGGAAGATGGATACAGCAATGATGAGAAAGAATTTGCACACCCATAATGGGGATCGAGCCAGTAACCTGGGCATGTGTCTTGGCCAGCTTTCGAACCATGACTTCCTGGTTCATAGATTGATGCTCAACCACTGAGCCATGCATGCTGGGCCAATGCATTGTATTTAATAAGTATGTGTTACTTTTCAAGTTTTCACTTCTATATCTGAAATAGGTGAGGAAGATACAAATAAACCAGGTTACATATGAAAAAAAAAAAGGTCAGAAGTGGTCAGCCTTATATCTACAGCTAGTTAATTAGCAATGAAACTCAAGTAAAAGTAGAGCATCATGATATTTTCTTTTCCAAATAATGAAGAAGAGAGAAACTAACTTGTTTGGTTCATAAACACACAAGAAAAATGTCATTAATTCACATTATTGCCATTATAATATCATTTCTCATACATTTGTTTGATTCTGGAAAATTGCCAGAAGGTAATATTTTTAATGTTCATCCCTGTTGTAATTGTATAGTCATTATATACATTGTTGTGGCTTAGAAAAACTGCTTTATTGCTTTTATCAAATATTCATTCATTGTCTCATGTTCCTACCTATCTCCCTTGAAACAAAAGTTTAGAAAAAGATATAGCATGAAAAGAACATCTTTAATGATTTCTTGACATTTGGTGTCATTATTAGCTATCTGCAGAAGAGTATATAATTCACTTAATACTCGTTTTACAGATCTGTAAAACGAGATCTTGTTTGAAGATTCTAGATAATACAGAAATACAATCTGAGTGCACAGTCTATGAACATTGGATTTACCAACACATTTTGACCTCATTCTAAAGTGCTTGTGTTTATGCTTTTCTCCCACTTTCTTTTTCACACATATTATTTGTAGAAAGTAGTAATAAAATTGACAATTACAGTAACAGGTTGCTTCCAAAGACATTTAGAAATAGATAATTTGATGACTGTTTTCCTTTCAATCAAAAAGCTAATGGAAACAAGTTTGCTGTTATCCTTTGGGCTATTTCATTCATTTCTGAAATTCCCAAATTTATTGAGTAGTCATTTTTTGAAAGGAAAATGGACTAAAATCTTGGTCTTATGTTCCAAGTTTTCTTCTCCAACACTTTTTTTTAAATATAAAAAATGAATGTATTGTTCAAATTTAGAGGGAGTAAAGAGGTGTTCTAATATCTGAAATTAGAAAGCAGATATGAAAAATAGAAAAATCTCAACAGAGTGATAATGTTGACCCTAAGGTAGAAAGCAGTATGCTAGTTTTTGAGGAATCTGTACATGATTTATGTAATATAGTGAATCAGAGGGTCATACCAAACAGAGAGAAGGTGGTGGGACCCTGTATCACTAATTGGAAGCTTGATTTTCAAATGAATTTTAGATTATTTACAATTACATACGAATTGTGTGTCTCCCCAGCCATCATGTGAATTGCTGAGGAATCAGAATGGCAAAGTCTCTTGGGAAATGTGCAATACAAATAAACAGTTGCCATTTGGAGAGCACACATAATGGTGGTGTGCATTGTGGGCACTGGTCAACAACAATATACAAGGTCACTAATACACCTATTGCAAAAGCTTTTTATAAAAGAGAAGAAAAAAAAAAAAAAAAAGAAAGAGAGAGAATAACAAAGAGATGGCATCTCCTCCCTTTTCCCCAAACTCCTTGTCTTCAGTCTCTTACTACTTAAATGCACTCGTCATGTATACATTTATTTATTTATTTATTTTTCATTATATTTTATTGATTTTGTACAGAGAGGAAGGGAGAGAGATAGAGAGTTAGAAACATCGATGAGAGAGAGTCATCGATCAGCTGCCTCTTGCACACCCCCTACTGGGAATGTGCCTGCAACCAAGGTACAGGCCCTTGACCGGAATCGTACCCGGGACCCTTCAGTCCCCAAGCCGACGCTCTATCCATTGAGCCAAACCGGTTTTGGCTCATATATACATTTTAGAAGCACTAACTTCATATCAGTTTTAGAAGCACCATATTGCATAAAGAAATACTTTCATCTGAATTCATTATTGAGAGAAACATACAAAGTTGTGGCTTTGATATTCTTATTGCTAGGATAGTAACACTATACTTTAAACATCAATAAGATATTTCCTTTTTCCATAGAATTTTTCCACTCCATACCATTGTGTAGAGGAAGTTGCTGTGGAAAATATCTCAATGCTTTGACTCAAGGGAAAAAAAAAAGAAGTTATGGTTTCCTGTGTTATTTTAACATTGATCTTACCTTAGGTGATTGCTTATTATATTATGGTAGGAAAAATAGGCATTCTTATGCTTTTTTATAATTGCTTTAATATTTCAATAAGGATTTGTTTCTCTTCTAGGGCCGGTGCATAAACTTCTCCCGAGTTTCGTCTCAGTAAAAAGAAAGACCAAGAAGGTATGAAGATGGTATATCTTCACACTGCTGATTTCCAAGCAAATGAAAACCAATAAGTGCATCTTACAAGTTTTTGGAAGAGCAGCTTTATTCCTCTCAGTGGGGAAATGTTTTCTCTGCCTTCTGCTTTGCTTGCACCAGACATTTTCAAACACTTGTTCTGCCATCCACCTGGGAGTTGATGAAACCCAGTGGTAACTCATGACTCATGGCATTGAAAATGAAAAGGACCATTAATCTACATGCCATGACTTATACAAAAGTTTGCATGAATGTGTAAAAAAGGAAAACAATAATAAAAAATAAAAATAAAAACAACAGCATGAAGATGATATCAAAACAGAGACCACAAAACTACTGGCCATGATGGATCTTTAATGAAGAAAGGAGCGTTGAACGTGGTAACATGGCTCTCATGTTTTCACATGGCAAGACTGTGTATCCACAGGCAGAGGATGAGATTTCCTGCCAGGCTCAGCAAATAAAGGAGTCTATTGCCTTAAAGCTCTGTCAGATCACAAAATCCTTCCACGTTCCCTACCACTCTGTGCCTATGGGAAGCTTCTGCCTGGAAAATCTTGTCATTCTCACACTGAAAAGTGCACACGCATGACAAAATGTAGACAGTTTGCCCCCAGGTATTGGTAGCAAGCAAGATTTTGCCCTATAGTTTTTCAAGACACCTTTCTTTCATTATGCTCTCGGGAAAGAAGACAATTAATAGAGCGTTATTACACAGGAAGACAGCCTCTACCCAGAGGTTTTGAGTGGAATATGAGGGACTCATGATTTGAGACCTTGCCCCTGTGATTGGTAGACTCACCCCTCTTTCTATGTTTAGGGTTTAGTAGTGCGTAAAGCATCAATATCTGTAAACATACCAAGGAGTTTTGTTTGCTTTTAATTTAATGGAAGCGGTAACCACAAAGCTTCCGCTCAGGGTTTTTTTTTCTTTCTCCAAGTGTCCGAGGGCTCCTCAGCGTCACAAGCCAGCAACTCTCTTTGCATGAAAATTTCAAAGTTTAATTACTATAATTAAAGGCAACAGCAAGCAGCAGCCTGTGAAGATTTTGCTCATCTTTTTTATGCCTTTTGACATTGAATGACCTATTACTGTATGCACATTACTTGGATTTTTGAGGGGCCCTTTATCTCGGATGTGATTCCGTAGAGAAGAAAAGATCTCCATTCACCGATTTGAAAATTAAATGTTCAGGAGGATCCGCCACCACAGAACCTCAAAAATGTATGTATTAGAGTTTTTTGTAGGAAAATCACCATCGTGTCATGTCGACGATGCCAAATGATGTTAGCGTGAGCGGAAACACGGTGGGGGAGGAAGAAGGCAGCAGCTGAAGAGGAAAGCTCGAATGATCTAGTCACTTTCGATACTGTATTTCAGAGGCGAAATGGGTATTCGACGCGAAACCTGACAAAGTGCGCCCGCTTTGATGGGAACCGGTATAGACAATGACCAGTGGCTGGGTCAGTGGGATGTCTCTCTGCGAGCACCAAGGCTTATCAAATGACATAAAAATAAGTTCAACAACCATCACGTTGGAAGGGAGAAGGCGGACATCTCATGTTTGGCGGGCATGTGAGTGCATGCGATGGAAAGAGCGATCTGGAGCAACCCGGTATAATTACCCCCATTGTGCTCTTCATGGCGATGTCAAAGGACGGGAGTGATTCTGTGGGTTGGTGTCCAGATTTGTGGTGCTACTCCGAGAAGCCTGGCTCACACACGCAAATCTATGTATGTACATGTATACCTTCTGGCTTGAATCTTTTGCTCAAGTTTATTTATGTCACTGGCTGGCTGGATCCAATGTCATGTGTCTACATATTCATAAATAAAATGTTACCTGTGCCTCTGCTACCATTTTCTTTAAGCCTACATAAACTCAAGCCTTGTTTGGTTGAATACATCATTGTCCTGGTTAGTTTCGGGGACAGAAGTATATTTCGTCCCCAGATGTCTCCCGTGTTCACAAGTGATACCATTGGCAGTAATTATCCATGTGTGCAAGTGTGACTTGGAAGCCAGATGTACACCCAATGAGTTCTTGAAGACCTTTGTTCTACATTTGCATCTGGGACAGGGTTATCCCTATTTTCTTTAAATTGGCACTTTGTTTCTGATCAGTGCACGTTCCTAGATGGCATTTATGAGTATCAAGGATGCTTAGAAGCTAAGGCTTTTGCTTTGGTAGTGACTTTGAATTTCTCTAGTATATGGCATTTGTTACATGAGCACTGTAAGTAGACCTCTGCCTTGCAAGGGCAAAGTAGCTTTTGGTGGGCTGTCATGCAAATGAGTTTGCAGTTCTAATACTACTATGAAGGATTCTCAGTGATGACAGGGAGGCATTGGTCTATATGTACTCCAAAAAAAGTACCGTTCATAATGTTTAAAGACATATGAATTTCATTGCACTGAAAGATATGAGTCAGCTTTATGTTATGACTTGTTTTAATCAGGCTAAGTAGCAAGTGAGAGGACTTTGCTTTAATGAGTACTGTTTTCTCACTACATTGAAAACCTCTAGACCTTTTAACCAGGAAAATAAAAGGGAAACAAAGAGCCATTTCCATAAGTGTAATAACATTTTATATTTCATATAGAGAAAAAGTTCCTGTTTAATTTTTTTTGAACTTCAGTTCAGTCAAGATTTCTTTTCTATGAATAAATGAGTAAGCCTTTAGCCATACTCCATTTGTGTTGCATAAGGTTGCAAAAACAATTAGGTGGGAACTGACTCCTAACTTATGTGTCTACTCTGTCTGGAAAGAAAGTTTTGAAGGCATCTATATATATTTCATAACAATGTCTGTTCTTTATGGATTTGATCCATAAATATTTATCTATCTGAAAACTTTGATACTTGGAATGTTTTCCTTAAAGCATTTGGTGCTCCAAGAAAAGACATTTGGTGCTAAGAGTTGCATCACTGATGCCTTCCCCCAAGTTACTTCTATTTTAACATTTTGTATTTCCTTCCCAATGAGATGCAGAGTAAAATGTGAGACCCGCCATCAACTGGGAGCAGCATCTGTCACTATGGATAATTACTACTTTGACAAAAATATATAAGGTTTAAACCTCCTGTATTTCAGATTGTTAGAGAAGAAATGATTTGCTTATATTTCCTTTGCACTTTATTCTAACCACTTTAAGTAATAAATTATTCAATAATTGTTTTTCAAATAAATATATACTGGGTATAATATCTGGTGTCCCTGTGAACTTAATAACTTTATCTAATATCAATGGCCATTGTTTGCTGTTCAGAGGCAATGTATTGGCTTATTTTAAAAATTAAAACACATTATTATGGCCAACACGGTATCTAAAATATTTTTGATTGAACAGCTGACAGACATACATTATTTAATTTTTAAAAAGACAAAATATAATTAGAAAAGCAAGTATTTTTTCATCACCAAGCCTTGGGTTAACTTCTGCTAGGTTTTTTACCGCATTACGTTGTTAGGAAATTTATCAGTGTTTTATTGCTACTGGTAATTTTTGGTGGGTGTAAGTGCACAGGAGAGAAATACAGACATTCTTTATTTTAATGTGAATGGAAATGTATAATCTAGAACCATAGAACAACTTGGTATATCTGCTGTATTTTTAAGGAAAGAAACTTGCAGGTGAGATTGGAAAATGTCTGTTTGCTGGTAATAAAGTGAGTGTAACCATGTATTCTAGCTTCCAGGTTGGATTAATATTTCTCTTAGTGAATGTTTATGGCATATTTCTCAGAGTACTTTAATTCTAATATACCTCTACACTTACAATGATCTAATTATGTCAGTCAATTTGATAAGGAAAAAATTCTTTCTCATGAAGAATGTAGACTAATAAAGCCCAGTGCAATTTTTTATTTTTGTGCTCTTCTGCCAAAAGAAAATGCTGATAAGGAAGTATACAATTTAATATGCACATTTATTGAAACATGCTCATTCAACTTGCTTTGCAAGAACTATATTAAGATAAAGTGTGTGTGACTATGTATGTGTGAAGAATCTAGTGGAGGGCCTAGACCACATGTGTCAAACACAAGGCCCGCGGGCCAAATCCGTCCCGCCAGGCCTTGCAATGTGGCCCGCACCGCGCTGTCATCACTGCACTCCGCTGCGTTTCCATCACCATGACAGTTTATGACTGTTCAGTAAACCATTCGGCCCACGATTTAGGCTGGATTTTAGATTTTGGCCCCTTCTCTGATTGAGTTCGACACCCCTAGCCTAGACCATAGACCTCACCACATCTAGCTTGCTAACATTGAACAGATCAGCTTCTCAACCATAGGCTGGAAATGCATTGGTGACATTTAAAGTCTGTTCCAGCACTGACAGCATGTCAGTGAATATTGTCACATTGGAGACTTTCATATTTATGTATTTCATTTTTCAAAACTTGGTTTATTTGTATGGCAATATTAGCTTTGTAAACTGCTATTTAGTTACAAACCGTACATTGAACTCATAATCCATAATTTGATAATTAGCCATAATAGAGTAATTTCTCAATTAATTTCCTATAACTAGAATTTGTCTAAGAGCAACTGGTAATAAAGTTTACATCTGATGAAATCTCTCAAAAGATGAGTACACTTGAGAAACAGATTTGTGTATTTCAATCTGATATTACAGTCTTAACAAGTGCCTCAAAGGCATATATAACAATGTACAGAAATTATTACAAGATATATGCCACCAGTTTCATTGATCAAGGTGCTTTGTACCCTGCAGAAACTTAAATCATTAAATTTTTATTTTTTATTTTAGTCAAAATTGAGGGGGGATCTTATTATAATTTATAAGCACTGTACCTATATTTCCTATAGGAAGTATTCAGTATTTATTAATTTGAATACAGCTTAGGATAGACGTATAGTTGGAATTGCTAACTTTTCACACAATTACCATCAACATACTGTAGGGGGAAAAACCTGAAAGTAGGAATTAAAAAAAAAAAAAGTATCCTTAACACTGTCACCAAATTACTGTAAAGTTATTTGTATCTTAGATGAACTAGGTTGGCAAGGTTGTGTTAGTGTCAGTGGATAATCCAAAATAAGTTGTAAAAGTTATTAAAATGTACATTTAAGTAGATTTCAATTTGATAGAAACTACAAGAGTTAATTTTCTAAAATATAGACTAACAAAATGATATATGCTGCCTTTATCCACTAGAAGGCAAGGTGATTTTGAACAATTTAGACATAGAACAAAGGAACTGAGAGCACCCAGATGATAGAAAAGAAATTGTTACATCATGTACTAAATTCAAAGCAAATATGACCTCTCAGCATGCTTCACACTCCACCATCTGATTTGTACATGTCATTGGGAAAAGAAAAACTGACATTATAAAATAAGATCCATTAGTTCAAGCAGATGACACCTGTGAATGGAATTTTTACTAGTTGAAATTCTGATGTGAAATGAGATGATTGTCATCATCGCACTAAAGTTTTCATTTTTGAGTTATTTTTTAACAACCTCTAATTCCAAAAGTCTGTTAATTAAGCAGCAATGACAGAACTTCATCTTCTTTAAATACTTTGTTTTTGCGAGGCTGTCTCATAGGAAGAAAGATTATATTTTTAAACAATATGTTCAAGTGTAAAAAATCTTCAACAAATTCTTAATGTTTAACAAAAAAATGGGAGAAAATTCCAGGACTTTTGTATTTAACATCTTGGGATTCTTTATAGGGAACTGGATATTTCAAAATATTTAAAGGATTTTAAATAATTTCAAAAAGATATCAAAGACTAAATATGCCCTGGAATATTCAGTGTACTTTTTCTCATCTTAAGGCGTATTGATTGGTATAGGTAGTTTAATATAACATAACATTAAAAGCAAAAGAAAATTATCATGGCATTAACCATTGTTCATTAACTCTGTGTTCCTGTCACCAACGAGAAAGTACTGAATGAAAGTATTTATATAAATAATTTAAAATATTCTAATTCAAAATGATAGTGGCCAATTCCGAAGTGATTTCAAAATTAAATCTAGTGAGCTGTAAAAATAGTATACCCTCAAATTATTATTTAAAAATCATGGAAAAATGAGAGGCATTCCCTTGTTTTAAAAAATATTTTTTCAACCCTTTAAATATAAGTCCAACAAATTTCAACCCAGTAATGACTGCATATGTTTATAATTTCTAACTTTGAAAAGACACATCAATTAAATTTAGGAGAGAGGGCTTGTATTTGCTTTCTATTGCTTCTACAATAAATTATCACAAACTCTGCGACTTAAAACAACACAAATCTCTTTTCCCTTACAGACCTGGAGACCAGACATTCAAAATCAGTTTCATTGAGATAAAAAGTTAAGGTTTGAACTGGGCTGGTTCCTTTTGGGGGCTCTGAGATGAGAATTTGATTCCTCGCTTTTTTTTTTTTTTTTTCAGCTTCTAGAGGACACTGGTATTCATTGGTTTGTGTACCCTTCTGGATTCAAAGTGTATCATCACTTCATCCTCTGCTCAGTCACCAGATCACCTCTTTTCTCCTTGACTTCCTTCCTCCTTTTGTGGACCATTGTGGTTGCACTGGGCCCAACCTGTTAATCCTGGATAAAGTCCTCATCTCAAATCCTTGACATAATCATTAAACAAAGTCTATTATGTAAGGTCACAGTCACAGGTTCTGGGCATGAGGACATAGCCTACCACATAGATTATAATAATTTTCCTTTCACTACATATTTTCCTTGTACCTGATTCAATAAGAGAATATACAAGTTGAGAGATCGGCTCCATTAAATCTTTGCTTTCCCAAATTCTTTTGATATTGTCATCACACAAGGTGATAACAAAGTGATAATTCCATTTGTTCC